GAGATAATATTGCTTCCAGTGTCCACTCTTCAATTATCCTTGTTACTTACTCAAATTTAGCTCTTTATCATCCAGGAAGCCTAATCCTCTCCTTTTTCTAGGGTAAATATAGAGTACTATAATTATCATCATAATGGTAATCATAATACTTTGTTGTTCATTTAAGGATCACTTGTAATTTTTGCCAACATCCATTAATGAGAATCCTCACAACAATCCTGTGAGGTAGGTATTTGGATCCCCATTTTACAGATGGGTTAACTGAGGCACAGAGAGGCGATGTGACTTGCCTAAGGTCAATAAAGTGAGAGATGGGAAAATATGGAAGAAAGGTAACTTAGGGTAGCACCTCTATTGTCAGAGAGCCATATTTACCAGTGAGAAAAGACAGTGCTAAGTGTTTCTTTAAATTGGGCACACCTACTTTCTTCAGTATACCTATTTCTATATAGCTATTAACACACTAGGGAGGATCAATAATTTCCCTTGGTTTATTAAAGATTAGATCAATTCCCAATGGTTTTGTTCTTCGGAAAACCTTTTTAGGGTAGGATACACCCCAATTTCCTGGAACTCAGGTCATCGAAATCTCTAACTCCTGAATTTTGCAGATCCCTTTGTTTCAAAGAGCTGTTAGAGTTCTAAAACTGTTACTATCATGTACATAAGCACTGTGCTCTAGGTGTTCCCACAGGTGTACAGGCTAACAATTCAGATACCACTATACAGGTACTCTGGAACTGAACAAGTAAATAAGTAGATGGCAACGTGTGGGAGCCAGGTTTCTCACTGTTGGAGTGGAAGGTTAGAGTGAACAAAGGCAAAAGGCTAGGATAAGATGATCCATGTGGTAAGGGATTGGAGTAGGAGACATCAGTATGAACTCATGTTTAGCTTAATGAAGATATGGATGATTACATACAGAAATATTTGTACATACGTATGTATAGATATACATGGGTTAGTGCACACACATATATTTCCTTGCTCTGTCAGCAGAGATGACCTAGAAGCAAAAATACAAGTAGCAACAAGCATACCTAATGCCCAGATCTTCATTTCTAATACAATTCTCCATTAAAAGAAACCAGGACTCCTTAAAGAAATGGTTGATTACAGGATTTGGCAAAAAAAAATATACAAGATGAGCTTGCAGCATCTTGTAGTGCTGGAAAATAAAGGTGTGCTAAAAAAAAGATGGGAGTATGTCAAAAGAACATGGAAATCAACCCAAAAGAGTGCCCAATGACCAACACTGGAACAATTTGAATAACAAAATAAGTTGCATTGGACTATAACCCAAAGTACTAAATAAATATCCATGAGTCCATACTGATACAAGAAAATGATTGCATAAATAAATAAATGAGGGAGAAAAGACAACTCTACCACGCAGAATTCCAAATAATTTATGTAGATACTCACCCTCAGGCATGTAGTGCATAGCTAACCACTCCTTAAGTGTGGGCTGCACAGAGTGATTTCCTTCCAAAGAGTACAGTATGGAAGGTGGGGTGGAATATAGAGGAGAAACTTGACAAACACTATCTCAGCCAGGTGATCAAGATTAACATCAAGGGTATAAGTCATGTTAATATGATGTGATGAAAATGGCAGTTCACCTCTGTGGTCTTCCTCACCCAAACCCATAAGCTCAGTTTAATCATGAGAAAAACATCAGACAGATATTAATTGAGGGACCCCTTGAAACTGCCAAGGTCATAGGAAACAAGGAAAGTCTGAGAAATTGTCACAACCAAGAGAAGCCTAAGGATATATGACTACTAAATGTGATGTGGTATCCTGAACAGGATGCTGGAAAAGAAAAAGGATATTAGATAAAAACTAAGAAAATCTGAATAAAGTTTGGACTTTAATTAATAATAATGTATCATTACTTCATTAATTGCAACAAATGTACATCTAATGAAAGATGTTAGTAATAGGGAAAACTGGGTTTGAGATATAGGGAAACTGTACTATCTTCAGAATTTTTCTGTAAATCTAAAATTGTTTTAAAATAAAAAACTTTATTTAAAAAGAATTTAAGAATTTATTCTCACAAACCTTTCTGTCTTGCCTATAATGCACTCCACCTAATGTACTCAGCAGTTCATATTCTTCATAGTTTTTCCTGAATTTTCCAATCATAATTATCAATAGTAATGTTCAATTGCCAATCATCTACAAATGGAGGAATCCCACTGCAATAAATTCCAAGATATTATTTAACCCTATCGATCAAGGCCATTTTCCATGCCTTAGGCAACTGTCCACATAATGGTGGTTAGCTGGTGTGAGCACAGCAAATACAATTAATTCCAAATGCTACCTAAGAGAGACAGTTATTTTCCATCTCACTGTCTATTTAGCAAAGTTCTGTGTGCTTTTGATGTGGTACAGTATTATACTGTATTCGAGTACCTGTGCTCCATGAAATACTCTTAATGAATGTTGATATATTTCTTAAAGAATATGGAAATAATTTGTAAAGATTTTATCATTATTTGGAGGGAAGAGGGCAATGAAAATAGGGTTAGAATTGTTTCCTGACCAGAGACAATTAATAACGCATTAACAAAGTCCCTCATTACTTTGCAGAAAAAAATTTGAATAAAGGCTTAGAGATGCCAGGGATACCAATATTTGGAATTCTAATTTGATTATCCTAGTTAGTACAACACTGTGTTTCATAGTCTTTATTTATAAATAGATCATATGCTCCAATGCAAAATATCCTGATGGGCACATGTCAGTTGTGAACTCTGGAAAAGGAGTCTAAAATCCAAACTCTGGAGAAAATGGGTAAGCCCTTAGACTCTACTGTGAAATACCATATCAACTACTCAATTATAAGCTTAACTTATGTATGATGGTAATTCACCTTTAACAACCTGTCTTACACCTGCATAGAAGTCCCCTTTAACAGATTGGCCCTAGATATTTCCTAGTGCTTTAACAATTAGTCTACAGTGTGGAACTTGCACACTAAAAGTCAGGGTAAAACATATCAAAATAACAAGGCTAAAATAATAAAAATCTACATATCATTTTGAAAAATACAGGTAGTCCTTAAATTTATGAGGGTTTATGGTCTGAAAAGACACTGTAACTTGAAATGAGGTAAAGCAAACCTGAGATATTATAGAAAGTGTTAGAATAGAAAAACTGTGTTCCTAATGTTATATATCAACGACCACAAGCACATTTTACTTACCATTTAGTCAACTGTTAATGATTTTGTGAGTGGTCTAAATTTTTCTGAAGCCTAACATATAAACTTGGACAAATACTGCAACCAATCATGTAAATTTTTCTTTAATTTGGTTTAATAATGTGATCCCTGGGAGAATGGGTGTGCAGGTCTGTAAGGCCTCAAGGAAATAACTGGGGAAGGAATCTGACCCGTATTTGTCTCATCTGTAAAATATTAATGATGGGTAGGACTAGATAGCTAATAGGATCCCTTCTTAGTGCTAGAATTCTATGATTTAGTCAGACTAGGTGGCCTTGGGAAGTAATGACCTGAAGTATTCAAGAGAGACTGGTTGAATATCTGCCAAGGAAAAGGGGTACAATATGAAGACAACCTTTTCCAGGAGAGAGGCTGTGTCCACAATTAAGTGATGGAAACCTCCCCTCCCTGACCCCAGGAGAGGAAATATGCCATGTGGAGGTAGATCTGGGGTCCAGGGCCTGGAACAGAGGGTTTTATGTGCCAGAGACTATTATAAAACATTGATTGGGTAACCAAGTGTGTATATTATGCAACATGTTATAATGGCTAAAATAAATGGCTTAGATGTTCATAGCAGTTGCATAACATCGAATTGCTTTCTGTTTGTCAGTTTTCACTAAATGCCTCTTATAGTTCCATTTGAAACATAGGAATGCATGCTAATAATGCCATGTACTTAACACATATTTTTCCTCCAACCCCTCACCTCTGTATAACATGGCCCCAGTGTGTCATTTCTCATCATGCAATATGTGCATAACAGTTGCTTTATGTAAACAGAAGAATAAACAGTACAGTGTAGCCCCTCAAGACATTGTCTCAAAAGATTGCCATTTGAATGAGACTTGTGATTATAGCACTTTTGATATCCTATCCATAAAAAGTCCTCCTCTATTTGTTTTCAGGATCATCCTGGGTCTACTTGTTCCTGTCACTGCCCAACTTACTCTCCTGGAACACTTTTTACCCTACTGGCACGTCGATGTGTGCTTTGAATTTTTGTTCAAATTTAACAAAACAAAGAATGTAATTGTGCAGCAAAATCTTTAATCCTGAAAGAGGAGGAGGAAGAAGAGGAGGAAAAGGAGAAGAACAAAAAGATCCTTTCATTCCCTTTAATGGACTAAAGAAGCAAGAAGCACCAGCACTGTCTGAAAACCAAACTAAGAACAAATAAGATTGGCTTTACAAAACCTTGGAGCTTGGTATGGGACTCAGCTTATTCACTGAGAATGTGCCCTATACTCAGGACCCAAATCCCTGTAAATCTTACCAGCCAACTACAATGTTATGCTCTCTTCTGTCTAGGAACTTGAAAAAAGTCAATTTAGGACACTACCAACCACTTTGATGTACTGATTCAGAAATATGATAAGAATTCTATAAAACAAGAGGAAAATAAGAACAAAAAGCAGCGTATGTTTGTTCACAGCCTTGAATTTGATTCCTTTTTTCTTATTGTAGGAAAAATGTCCTATCTCATAACAGGGACGGGAGGGGGGCAACCATGGGTGCCGCACTGGAATTCAACCCATGCGGAGGTTGAAAAAACTGGGGACTAGTCAGTGGAGAAATGAACGTGGAATATAAAGAGTCCCTATGGAAGATCAGCTACATTTTCCTCCAGTTTCGTCAGCCTGGCTCAGTGAACTGTTCCAATCCCATCCCAGAGGCAAGCTGAGTCAAAGAGGAAAAGATGGTCATGATCCCATTGCGCGCGCGCGCGCGCACACACACACACACACACACACACACACACACACACACACACAAGAAAGAGACCAGTGCAGCTCTTCTAGTGCAGTCTGTGCCGCTCACATGGTGTCATGGCGCCGGCGGTGCAGAGACAGGTGGTCAGAGCGAGAAAAGCTACGATTGCAGTCTGTGCACCGGAAAGGCTTGATGCCTGTGTGCTTGCGGAAATGGCGGGTTAGCTCATCTGAGCGAGCAAATTTCCAGGAGCAGCCATCCCAGGTGCATTTATAAGGCTTCTCTCCTAAAAAAGGGAATATGACAAAACAAAGGGAGTCAGATAAGAGACGTTTGGATCCCGAAAAGATAACAGAGTACATAACCTTTTATAAAGTCAAAAAATTAAGCAATCACTTTAAAGACATGTTCTCTTTCACCTTTACTGAAGTCCCAAAGAGAAGCCACGATGGTTGAATGGAAAACACATAGGCTGTGCCTCAAACAGGCCTTTGCTTGAATCCTGGCTCTAGTACATAGTAGTTGTGTGACCTTAAATAAATCACTTCTCCCTGGCTGGATCTCTGATTTTTCATCTCTAAAGAGGGATAAAAATATCTCACAAGGTTGTATGAAACATTTTATCCTTTAAACATAGCCAATAAATGATAAAACGGGGATCAAAACCCAAATCTTTGACATTTTCCACTATACCACACAGTAGTAACTGTATTTTCTCCTCTAATAGCTCCCCAAAAATAATAGTCTAAAATAGAGCCATAGACACAGGAAGAATGTGTGGTTCACTGGAATGGGTCTTCAGTTAAGACTACAGGCCTTTTTCTGTGAAAGATCAGAAACTCAGTGGCATGAAATGGGGTGAGGAGAAGTGTCAAGTCAAACTTTTTGAAATAGTTACATGCTTGCTCAGTACCCCCAGGTTGCACCTGGGTTATATATGGAAAATGTATGCTTTGGGTAGAAAACTATATAAAAAAAAAAAGTAATATAAAAATCATTAACACAGTATAACCCCATAATGGTGTATATGTCACATAACACATATTTATATACTCAGAATAAGGGGAATATCAACACACTTACATATAAATTATGAGAGAAATTATTAACAGTGAGTGAATATCTGGAAAGTGAGGATGAAAATGAGAAGAGAAGATGAGAATCAGGTGAGAAGAGGATTTTTACTTTTCACCTTCCTGTATTGTTGGAATGTTTTAAAAATCATGTAGCTGTATCTTATAATAAAAATTTAAACATAAAAAGGTAAGAAGCTATGAGCAAAAAATAAATATTAACTACGGTTAAGTTAAGATTATGGAGTTAGGGTAACGATTGTTTTCTTTTTAATGTGTTTCCCTACTTCCCATCTTCTACGATGAGCATGTATAATCTTATAATCATAAATAATAGATAATGTAGGTATTCAGTTGGCCAAAAATTTCATTTGGGTTTTTCTGTAACATCTTATGGAAAAACTCGAATGAACGTCTTAGCCAACCCGTACAAAATGTATTGGTATTTTAATGGTCTTTCTTACTTTGGTTCTTTCTCCTCTTCTCCTTATAAATACTCCAGAGCATTTTACTTTATGTTGTTCTAAATTCTGGTGGCAATCTGGTTTGCATATGCTGTTTTTCAACTTACTGCTCAACACTTATCAATCCTCCTAAGTGTTTACTAATTAACTGTACAGCTTTCAAACAATGGGCAACAGAATGTAATTCACTCTGACTCACAGTTGTGGACAATACCAAGGCAACAATTTTGAGGATTAAATATGCCAATTACTAATCATTTCAATATACAGAAATTTCTGCATTAGCTGCTAAGAAGAATGAGATAGAGCTGGATGTAGTGAGAACAAAAGATGGCCAATGAAATGTTATAAAATGAAAAGAAAAAGCTACTGAATGGCTATGCACCACACACATGCACACACACAGAGTAGGATCCCATTTACATTCCCTAAACTTCTCTACCTCTGTGTCTCTGTGTCTGTCTCTCTGTTTCTCTCTCTCTCCCTCTCACACACACACACACAACTCCCAAACAAAGAGAAAAGATCTGGAAGACTACACAGCAAATTACCAGTGGAAAGGAGAATGAGACTGTAGATGGTGTTTAGTGTGTAAATGGAATTTTTCAGTTTGGTCTATATAATTCTATTCCATCTCCACACCTCCAAACACTGCTATACATTTTGTTGCAATCTCTCAAGAATTTCTCCTACTTCTATCTTCTCTACACTCAAATGAAGAAAATTTGACTTGTAAAGCAATGACATCCTGTGGTGATAAGAGCTCATTGCTAGAATACACAGATTACACAATCCAGCAAGGAGACCAATTTTTCCTATTGCAAAAGCTGTTACCTTTTATTATCATTGAACAGGCTCCTGTTTGTGCTAATGCACTTCATGTGGCACAACTCAACTCATGACCTTCATCAATACATCATCGATATTGAAGAACAAAACATACATAGGGAAAATAATAATATAAAATGTACATATTAGGGGCTTCCCTGCCGATGCAGGGGACGCGGGTTCGTGCCCCGGTCCAGGAGGATCCCACATGCCATGGAGCGGCTGGGCCCGTGAGCCATGGCCGCCGAGCCTGCGCGTCCAGAGCCTGTGCCTCACAACAGGAAAGGCCACGACAGTGAGAGGCCCACGTGCCACAAAAAAAAAAAAAAACGTAAAATGTGGGCGCACCCCTGCCGATGCAGGGGACACGAGTTCGTGCCCCGGTCCGGGAAGATCCCACATGCCATGGAGCGGCTGGGCCCGTGAGCCATGGCCGCCGAGCCTGCGCGTCCAGAGCCTGTGCCTCACAACAGGAAAGGCCACGACAGTGAGAGGCCCACGTGCCACAAAAAAAAAAAAAAACGTAAAATGTGGGCGCACCCCTGCCGATGCAGGGGACACGAGTTCGTGCCCCGGTCCGGGAAGATCCCACATGCCATGGAGCGGCTGGGCCCGTGAGCCATGGCCGCCGAGCCTGCGCGTCCAGAGCCTGTGCCTCACAACAGGAAAGGCCACGACAGTGAGAGGCCCACGTGCCACAAAAAAAAAAAAAAACGTAAAATGTGGGCGCACCCCTGCCGATGCAGGGGACACGAGTTCGTGCCCCGGTCCGGGAAGATCCCACATGCCATGGAGCGGCTGGGCCCGTGAGCCATGGCCGCCGAGCCTGCGCGTCCAGAGCCTGTGCCTCACAACAGGAAAGGCCACGACAGTGAGAGGCCCACGTGCCACAAAAAAAAAAAAAAACGTAAAATGTGGGCGCACCCCTGCCGATGCAGGGGACACGAGTTCGTGCCCCGGTCCGGGAAGATCCCACATGCCATGGAGCGGCTGGGCCCGTGAGCCATGGCCGCCGAGCCTGCGCGTCCAGAGCCTGTGCCTCACAACAGGAAAGGCCACGACAGTGAGAGGCCCACGTGCCACAAAAAAAAAAAAAAACGTAAAATGTGGGCGCACCCCTGCCGATGCAGGGGACACGAGTTCGTGCCCCGGTCCGGGAAGATCCCACATGCCATGGAGCGGCTGGGCCCGTGAGCCATGGCCGCCGAGCCTGCGCGTCCAGAGCCTGTGCCTCACAACAGGAAAGGCCACGACAGTGAGAGGCCCACGTGCCACAAAAAAAAAAAAAAACGTAAAATGTGGGCGCACCCCTGCCGATGCAGGGGACACGAGTTCGTGCCCCGGTCCGGGAAGATCCCACATGCCATGGAGCGGCTGGGCCCGTGAGCCATGGCCGCCGAGCCTGCGCGTCCAGAGCCTGTGCCTCACAACAGGAAAGGCCACGACAGTGAGAGGCCCACGTGCCACAAAAAAAAAAAAAAACGTAAAATGTGGGCGCACCCCTGCCGATGCAGGGGACACGAGTTCGTGCCCCGGTCCGGGAAGATCCCACATGCCATGGAGCGGCTGGGCCCGTGAGCCATGGCCGCCGAGCCTGCGCGTCCAGAGCCTGTGCCTCACAACAGGAAAGGCCACGACAGTGAGAGGCCCACGTGCCACAAAAAAAAAAAAAAAAAAAGATCATACACCATGATCAAGTTGGACTTATCCCTGGGATGATGCAAGGATGGTTTGATATACTTAAATCAATGAACGTGATAAAACACATTAACAAATTTAAGAAAAAATCTGCTGATCATCTTAATAGATGGAGTAAAAGCACTTGAAAAAGTTCAGTATCCATTCATAATTAAAATGCTCAACAAAGTAGGTATATAAGAACTTACTTCAACACAAGACATATATGACAACAGCTAACATCACAATCAATAGCAAAAAACTAAAAGCTTTTGTCCTAAGATCCAGCACAAGGTAAGGAAGCTGACTCTTCCCCTTTCTTTTCAAAATATTACTGGAACTCATAGCCATAGCATTATACAAGAAAAGGAAATAAAAGTCACCCAAGATGCTCAACATCACTAATTATTAGAGAAACGCAAATCAAAACTACAGTGAGGTACTACCTCACACTGGTCAGAATGGCCATCATTAAAAAGTCTACAAACAACAAATGGTGGAGAGGGTGTGGAGAAAAGGGAACCCTCCTACACTGTTGGTGGGAATGTAAGTTGGTACAGCCACTATGGAAAACAGTATGAAGATTCCTTAAAAAACTAAAAGTAAAGTTGCCATATGATCCAGCAATCCCATTCCTTGGCATATATCTGGACAAAACTAAAATTAAAAAAGATACATGCAACCCCTATGTTCATAGCAGTACTATTCATGATAGCCAAGACATGGAAACAACCTAAATGTCCATAGCCAGATGAATGGATAAAGAAGATGTGGTACATATATACAATGGAATATTACTCAGCTATAAAAAAGAATGAAATAATGCCATTTACAGCAACATGGATGGACCTGAGATTATCATACTAAGTGAAGGAAGCAAGAGAAAGACAAATACCATATGATACCATTTATATGTGGAATCTAAAATGTGACACAAATGAACCCATCTGTGAAACAAAAATAGATTCACAGACATAGAGATCAGACTTATGGCCAAAGGGGAGCGAGTGTGGGGGAGGGATGGATTGGGAGTTTAGTGTTAGCAGATGCAAACTATTATATATAGAGTAGATAAACAAGGTCCTACTGTATAGCACAGGGAACTATATTCAATATCCTGTGATAAACCATAATGGAAAAGAATATAAAAAAGAATGTATACATATGTATAACTGAATCACTTTGCTCTACAACAGAAATTAATGCAACATTGTAAATCAACTACACTTCAGTAAAAGAAAGGC